AAGAGGCAGGCTTCGGACAGGCCACAGAGAGGCCGGGGCAGGCCTGCCGGCTGCCGAGAAGCGTTTGAGGGCGGGGCCCGTGGGTGTCTAACGTTGCCTTCGGAAGCCCATAGAAAAAGCTTTGTGGGCCAAGCTGCGGCCTGCAGAAACGTTTGCGGGCGGGGCCCGTGGGTGAAGAGAAGAGGCAGGCTTCGGACAGGCCACAGAGAGGCCGGGGCAGGCCTGCAGGCTGCCGAGAAGCCTTTGAGGGCGGGGCCCGTGGGTGTCTAACGTTGCTTTCGGAAAAGCCCATAAGAAGAGGAGAGGCAGGCCTCGGACAGGCCACCGAGAGGCCGCGGCCAACCACAATGCACCTGCACACATGCCTTTGGAAGTGCTTGGAAGGGTTCTGCAAGGCTTGGCCAACTGCTTCACCCTGCGGTGTCCCAGGCGCCTCCCCGCCTAGGCTTTGGCTATAGGCCGGGGTCGGCGGATATTATATACTAGTGTATATATAGTGTATATGGATGGATGGATGGATGGATGGATAGAACTTGGAACCTGTCCAAGATCTGCCAACTCTCTTTCATCTAGAACGTTCTTCTCGCTTTGTTGCATCTTGTTCAGCATGCCATCGGATAAACTGCTACCTGGTCTGGAGCATGAGGGTGACAATAGCATACCATCAGATATTGCACTCCCATCTGCCATCTGCAGGCCATGGTCCTGGGGGAGACCGAGCAACTTGGACAGATGAGCCATTGAGCAACTGGGCGGGGCCGTTGACTCTTGACCCAAGGGAAGGTTTCTTCGCGACCCATGTTGGGCCCCAAAATGGTCACCATTCAAGTGACCTGTGACGAGTTCTGGTCGTCAATTGCTTGAAGAACCGTTGCTTGGAGCGACCAGACCGGCCTTGGACGTTTTCCTCCAACGTTCTTGGGACCAAAACCGAAAGCATTCCTAAGCACCGAAGGGAGATCCGAAGAGTGTATCGACATGGGGTGCCGATCGCCGGTTCTTTTTTTCTCCGAGCATGGTCCACCCCAATATTTGTTGGGACGGTCGCTAATTGGAGAACGAGTGACTAGGCTGTATCTCCTGGTTGTGATATGCTATGGTAGCCCTGTAGTCCCCTGAATGCATCAAACATTCTGCGCTTGGGCGGCAAGTCCAATCAAGTTCACCAAGTAGACAGGGCTCAGCAGAGGTATCCTTTTTGCACCGTGTGAAGCAATGTGAAGCATACATGGCTAGCCTGTTTCAATTGGAAGGCACGCTAGGAAAAGTCGTTGCTTCGAGGGGTGTGCTCGCAGTTCCCAGTTGGGGAAATTCCTTTTCAGGTGGCGGTGCCGGAAGACGTCCCGTAGCCTACGCATGTATGAGGCGTTGGTAGGCGTAGCACATGGGCGGCCACTTTTTCATCTCTTTTGGGGAAACGTTGGGTGGCCTGCTTCAATATCCGGTGTGGAAGACGTCCGAAGTGAGGCTGTGAACATCAATGGCCTTCCATCCGGGTTGGAGCAAGCGATTGCTGGGCGGCCATGGTGGGGCGGGATGGATGATCAGGGAGCACGTGAAAATGCTGGTGGGTTGGGGTATTCACAGTCAAAGTGCAACAGGATGTCAGGTCATCATGGTGATGACCAAAGAACGCCGCTCCTGGTTCAAATTCCAAGTGGTGGTATACAGCATGTGGAAAGATTTCTGAGGACGCGTGACCACCACTCACAAAAACCAATGAAGGTTGCGATTCAATCACACTCCACTGATGGTTGATCATCAAAATGGAGTGGATGTTGATGAACGAACACATAAAGCACCTTTTTGATTGTTGGACGTAGAGCATTTATTGGAAAGTCTGTCGAGTGCCAGGTAAAGAGAGTTTGTGCGCCCCAGAGAGGGATTTTTGGAATGATAGGAACTTCGCACTCCGAAACGTTCCACATCCCCCTCTGTTCCGGGAGCTGTACTTTCAGTGAGTGTGACCCCCCGACCCATGAAGATAAGACAAGAAGCTATGCGAAGATGATAGCTTGATATCAGAAATATAGTAATTTCTTTCCCTTGTTAACTCCTGTTTGCAAACGCTTGATATTTTGTATTCTACTACCTTTGGTTTTCAACATGAAAACGATGTCCACTTTCTGTCGGATCCGCCTGTTTTCCACCGTCCCCACCACTGCGTTCGGCCGCCGGTGCGCCGAGGTTCGGACGGTGGAAGTGGTGCAGGAGTCCCATGACCAGGCGGTGCAGTGAAGAGCGTCTGCCGAAAACGAGCCCGAAGTCCATGGGACTGCCATATATGTCCACATTGACTCCCCTGGCACCACCCCTGGCCGTTTCTCGGCAAATTGGCTACATGGAGCGTCTGGGTTCGTTTTAATCTATTCGAGAAGAGGATCTCGTTTTTCAACAATCCGCTTCAGAAAGCCCATTGGTATCCACCGGTGTTTTTTCCACTTGACTGTTCTTTTGGGGCGGCTTGTTACAACAACTTGAGGGTCTCGCATGTTGAAACATGTCTCGTCCAGGTGTGGTTCCGGAAGTGGGCCGAGCGCAGCAATGCTGAGCGCTTGGAGCAGGAGCAGGTGGAGAGTTCGGCCGAGCGGTCCGGCCGAAGAGCCTGTCACTCCTACTCGGTCCCTACTCACCAACATGGAAGTGGAAAGCTCCCTACTGGTAGAGCAACTTGGTCTTCCGGGGGCCTATTTCCCACTTCCATCTTAAGTGAGTCAGAATGTCTTCACCACGCGGGTTGTTCAGGCAGCCTTGGAGGCCAATTGGACATCCTCGGTAAAGAAATCATTGTGCCACAATGGGTGGATGCGTTGCGCCATGAGCAGAGGATGAATTATATTTTGGTGGACCATTGCTTGTGGCAGGCAGGTGTTGGTTCGGGTATGTTCGGGTGGAGGTTGACCACCATCTTGGTTTCGGTCAAACATGCCTCACTGGTTTGGTGCGGTGCTCTGTCACCGGATTTCACTTGCGAAGCATCGGGCCAAGCCACTCGTATGACAAGTTGCTCAAGGAGAATTGTTTGTGGATGCTCGACCCCCTCTCCTTGTGGAATCCACTTTAGTAACTTTAGTATGCAGTAGGCTGGCACCTCACTCTGGTATGCATAGGCCGCAGCGTTGGTTTTACTGCGCCCTTTTTGTATATATTATATGTTATATTAGTTATATTGCCAATTGCGGTGAAGGATGGTCTTTCGAATCATGACCTCGGCGAATGAGGATGAATGCTGCAGCAGTAGTTAGCCACAGCACCTTTGTGGCTCCACCCCAGGCACCGCCCCTCCGTGGCGGACCTGCGCGGCAGAACAGCGAGCCGGACATCAACGGCCGGGCGGCCGAGGGAAGAGCATAGGAGCCAATGGCATAGCAGAGGCCTAGCTGAGCTGAACACGGAGATGTGTGAGATGTGTCCGAGTGCTGTCTGAGGCATGGGGAACATGCCGGGAAGCTCAGATCAGATATGTTTCTCCCAGGGTCGAGCCTGGCGATTTTTTCCCCGCGAGAGGATCACAAGCCGACCATTGTAGGACCATCGTCTTTCGACTGTGGTTTTTCACCATGCTCGCCGACCTTCCAACCACCGTCCAAGCATGTCGCCGTTTCTGACCTAATCCTCACCCTTGCACCTCGTGGATCCTGCTGTCATGTGCCTGCCCTCCCTCCGGGTGCCGTCCTCCCGAGGATGGGGAACATGGCGGCGATGATGGGGAACATGTCCGGAGCTCTGCCCGTTCGGTTGGGGCCGGTCTTTGATGTGGAAAGAAGGAAGGTGGAAAGGATCAATAGACACAACTGCTGAGTGGCGGAGTAGCAAGCATATATTCAGGAGCTCTTGGAAAGTACTGTGCAGCGCTTGTAGATGGCGACCATTCTTCATGAGTAGAGAGGGTAGAGATGGCGTCCTTGGAGCTGAAGGGTGGACTAGCCACGTGTGACATGGAGGCTACTAGGCATCTCTGTAGCTGCTGTGTCCGGTACTTCGGCTGGACCAGTTGCTGTTGCTTCGAGGATGGGCAACATGGGCAGCTGTGGCGGCATGAGCAGTATGGGCATGAACAACTGCGGGATGGGCTCCATGGGCTCCATGCCGATGAATGGCTGTGGCTGCTGTGGCTGTGGCTGCGGTGGTTGTGGTGGCTGCGGTGGCTGCGGTGGCTGCATGGGTGGCATGGGCCGCTGTGGCTGCGGAGGCTGTGGCTGTGGTTGTGGGAGCCTGCCGAACCAGATGGGCTGCCCCGGCTGTGGTGGAAGCAGCTGTGGCAGCTGCTGCGGGAGCTGTGGGGGTGGCTTGGAGATGGGCAACAGCATGGGCTCAGATGGCTCAGATCTGGTGATGCGCGTCATGGAGGACAGCCTGCCCAGGGAAGAGATGAAGAACGAGCTGAAGAGTTTGGCATTCGATGCGCCATGAATAAGAAAGGCCTTTTAAAGTTAAAAGTCATTGAAGGTCTAGTTTTGCGCGGTTCAACGGAAAAAATCGATGATTCCTTGTCGAGGTTCGGTTCAACTTACTACCAAAGACTCGGATCGCCGATCTATAGATGGGGCGCCGGAGCTCTCGCACAGCTGAGCTGTCGCACTCCAGAAGTCTGTTTTCGGAGGGTAGGTGCCAATTCTTGGAGACCTTTTCGCCTCCGTTTTCTTCACTTTTAGGTCACTCTAGGGAGTCTTCGATCATCCTCGATCCAGAGGAGATGCCTTCCTTCGTGTCCCGTGATCCTCGTGGCTTCATTCTGCGAAGTGCGGTGCCCCTGCGCATGGCGGAAGCCCTCCAGCAGAAGGCGGTTTTCCCGAGCTGCAGAAGTGTTTGGCGCGGCGCAGCCCTGACAGTAGAAGAATGTAGAAGATATATAGATAGATTCGTGCTAAAGGTAGATGGTCGGCTCTCCGTTTTTTGCATTTTTTGGTGGTATCACGCCAAGAAGTTGCCTCCAAGGCAATTCTGAAGGTGCTCCAGCTACTAAGCTACTACACCTCTCCTTGAATTGATTGCCCTCCTTTCCTATCTTTCCCTACACCAGGCAGTCCAAGTGATGGGCTCGACCTTCACGAAGATCAGCTTCAGTGGGGACGTCAGCTCCAACGCCCGCATCATGAGTGTCCAGGAGAGCGGTGGAACACCGCGGGTTGGATACATCGATCTGGTGAGACATGGCGCCATCGACCGGGATCTTCCAACTATGCCGCAGTTACATCGGCCTAACTTGGGTGATTTGTATGGATGAAGGGCGGCAGACATGTGTCACATAGTTGGAAGATCCAGGTATGCCCCTCCGGATCATCCACGATGACTCCGATTTCGTCGCCGATTTCGTCGCGGATTCGGAGCGGATTCGGAGCGGATTCGATGGGTGTTTCTCTTCGTGTTCGGCTTCGCGGTGGTTCTTTTCTGAAACCAAGCCACTCCGGCACGCGAGGCACCCCCTGCCTGTCCGCACATCCAAAAGAAACATCAACATGTTGACGTGAGTTGAAACCACCCACCAAACAGGTGCGGTGTCAGTGCCGGGTGTGGCATTGTTTTCCCCAATGTGCGCTGACATGTTTTCCGGGCGGCAAAGCGACGTGGGTTTATGCGGTAAGCAAGACCCGTTGCGACATGGCTTGTGGCCACGATTCGGAAAGCGCCACGGGTTTTAGGGCACCGCAGAGGTTTCTGATATTTCATGGTGTAGTCTTCATGATGCTTTCTACAGCGAGCCAATAGCGAGCCACAGCATGCACCCTGATAGCTTTTGGGAGCAGGGCTCATTGGGCTGCGGAGTTCATGTATGAATCGTACCTGCTCTGTCAGATCAGACCCTTACTGAAAAAGCGCCCTCGGTCCTGCAGGGTTCTCTCTTCAACATCTGCGCCGGCTTCATGCTGATGATGTGCGCAGCCAGAGGGGAGAAGAGGACAGCAGACGGACAGGTTGGCCCCCCTGAAGTTGTGGAGCACTGCAATCCGACGAAGGACGTGAGAGGTTGTGAGCTGGGAAGCTCCCAGTTTCAGGTGACTCCTTTCACCGCTTTCTTGATGTGTTTCCCACTTTTTGTGGGTTTATAGTCATAGTGAGTGGGTTGTTTTGTCGTGCATTTCTGCAACTGACCAGCCTTTTCGGTCGGGCAAAGCCAAAATGTTGCGAAGCTGAACTGTGTGACGCAGGTTCCCCCCTCTCTCTAAACAGGGCGACGACTTGTGTGACTTTTTCCTAGGTGTTCGTTCTCTTTTTTTGTATCACCCTCCTTCCAAGGAAAAGACATTGAAATCTTGCAATCTTACTATAAATGCACAATATATATACCCAATTATATACTATACAATTATATATTACGCGCGACCCCCCAGCGGACTTTCCGGCTTTGTTGAGGCGCCACTATGTGGAGATCGAGCAAAATGGCTTCTGACATGTGGCAGTCGTCTCACCAGTAGCGGGGGTCGCTAGCGAGAAGAAGTTCACAAGATCGATGCGCCCAATGAGTGTGTTTTTGGAGCTACAGTAGTCAGATAGTGAACGAACATTTGACCTTTGAAGGTTTCAACGAATGAGTCCATGCTTTTTTGAGTGCAAACATATGTAAACCATGTAACATTGCGTGAATCGAGGGAACAACGCACCTCAACAAAAGAGTGCTCGTTTCGAGTTTTTGAATGGGAGAACTTGACGGTCCTAAAGGCGGACAAACAATTTGTTGGATCCGATCCGACGGTCCATGTTAGGACATACTCGGTACCCCATACCCAAACACTCCATGTATGGCATATTTACCTACATTGACCCCTGAAACCACCCCAATGTAGGCATATATGGCATACATGGAGTGTCTGGGATACCCCATACTTACTACCCTAAGGATCATTGGACCCGACCACTTCTGGAGGGTTTTGACCCTGCAGAACGCAGGGGGGTTTGGACCTGAACCAAACCTTCACCGAACTGAGGGTCCTTGATCCTTAGGCTAGATGTTCATGAACCATTCTCACAGGGTAGCAACATTTTGCCACAGTCGGCCGTCGGGAAGCAGATAGCACGGAACGTGTAAGTTTCCGCAGGATGCCTGGAGGCGGAACAAGGTTTTGAGGTTACAAAGTTGCAAAGTCAAAGTCACGGGCACCGGGCGACGTGGTCTTTGGGCGTTTTCTGCGGCGCGGTCCCTGAGTTTCGCAAAAGTGGACCCAGCATCGCGCGACGAAGAACATGGGGGGGTGCGGGTCAAAGATGGTCAAGGCCAAACTCCCCCAAAGCGTTGTAAAGGAAGATTTAGGCGTGTGTTGAATTTAGGCATACCTCCCAAAGACCTGGTTGGAAGAACACAACAGTCGACTACGACCCCTATGTTGGAAGGGGCCTCCTACTCAAAAAACACCCCATTTAGTCAGTCTCAGTGCAACAACGTTCCCTAGGGTCGATGACATGAGCGTAGCTAGGCAGCGATCTTAGAAGGTCAAAGTTCCGATGTTTCGGGCTGTATTACTACGGCTCCGCACTTCTGGTATGTTCACTAGAGGGTGCATGCATGACATGCATGGGTGTGAGAGGGTGCCAGAGAGTCTTTTGAGTTTTCAGCTTGCCCATGTTGTCAATGGATTTCAGGCACACTCCGAGCGCATCTGTAAAATGGCAACCTTGTATAGTTAATATATGCTTTTACATGCAATTCTCGTTTATCTTCTGCAAGTGGCATATGCTGTATTCTGTTCGATTGACTGCACCGGATGCCGCCCGTCAGCCTTCGTTGTTCTCTCAAGCAAGTGGAAGCATGGCCTCCAAGTTACAGGTTCCCTCGTAAAAAGGAGAGATTCGTCAAACCTGGTTCAAACATGTTCCAAATACCTTCCAACCATCTCGTCAAACCTGCCACGACGCAACAAAACGGCTTCGGTGAAACGCTTTCCACCCGATCCCCTCGTGTCGGACACGTTGAGAATGGGTGGGTCAGACGGTGTTTGGTTCGGGTCCAGACCACCTCACGGCATGCGCGACATCGCTTCCGCTGCAGACCTCCCGTTCGGATCTCCGCTTCCACCGTCCCATGGCGATGTCATGTGGTTGGGAGAGGCGGTCGGAGCAGCGCGGTCGGTGGTCCGGTCCGGTCATCGCTCGCTTCCGGGTGGTGAAGAGAGTCGGGACCACGCCACGGCCACCACTGAAGCTGGAACCGACATCCTTATATACGTGGCGTGTGGCGTGACATGCGGAACGGATCCGAAGCAAAAGCTCCACATTCCAAATGAGGATGGCATAATATAGAAGGGCCATGGATGAAGGGGCAGCATTTGGCAGCATTGTGTTTGATTCTAGGGCCTTTCAGACAACAGGGTGCATGATACAGGAACACAACAATCAGGCTGCATAGTTGTGGTGGAGTTGGGACGGGGGACGTCTTTGAGGCAGCCTGTCACTGTGCCATGTTGCAGGTCCTTTCTCCGCACGCCATGTTGCATCCCTACGGCGCGCTTTTCGGGTGCGTTCCGTTCGGACGCTCCGGTGTGGTGTCGTGCGAGCTACGCCGATCTTCCACCCAAATCATCCAACGTCATCAGTGACCTCGATACCGTATCCTCAGTAATCGTAGATCTTTTCATCATACGATCGATGATCTCGTATGTACCTCGGGCTTGCTACCTCACAATCTAAGCCTTGGACTCAGCTCCCGTGCAGGACGCTGCGACTCAGCAGCAAACACCTCCGGCACCCGAGGCGGTCGCGCCAAAGGCTGAGGCCGTCGCCGCCTGTGGTCGCAGCCTGGCAGGGGTGCGGGCCCCCGGGTTTTTAGACTGCGCTGACTTTCACCAGGCACCTGGCATGTCCAGGTTGTTCGAATGAGCAACCACCAAGTGTTTTTTAGCTGAAACACTGCTTGCTCAAGAAGCAGTTCTTGTCAAGCAGTGCAGATGCTTCAATTCTATATTGCTGGTGGGGTTTGAGTGGCATCATTCGATGGCATTGAGTCATAGCCAAGTGATGCCAAGTGCAATGCCCACCTGAGTCTTCATCCACTTTGCCTAGGTCCTAGGTCGTTCTGGAAAGGCCACCGACAAAAAAAACAAGGCCCAGGACCCTGCAAAGAAGTGGCACTGGGGTCTTCCAAGTCGATCAAAAAGACGTGTTCACCCGTGCTAAAGTTCCAGTATGGACTCCAACAGCTCCAACGTTGGCGCGGACTCCTTGCTTCAGCAGGCCAATGCATGGCAATGCCAGGCTGTGGCGGAGCGGGAACGTGGGGGGTATGTCTGCAACACTGTCAAGGCAAAATAGACTGGGCAGGTGGATGCCATGGCTAATAGCGATGGCCTCCAAGGTTGGAGACCATCGCTATTAGGTTTAGGTTGGAGGCCATTGCTATCAGGTTAGGGGGGACTATTGCTATGAAATGCATTTGGAAAGAATGTAAAATCATCCGGTCACACAACCACCAAGATGCTTTGTAACAAAGACTTGGGGTGGCGATGGTTCTTTGTCGCCTGGCAGGGGGTGGCAGATGTTTATATCCACCTGCAAATCAACAGGGGTCCCACTCACCCCTGAAAACAAACATAGAACCCTATACAGAACCACCGTGGGTTTCAGAGAAAGTTAGTTTTGCAAGCGTCCTGTTTCAATGTAGGTTTTTGCAAGCGTATCGATGATCATCCTGTCCCATTTTGTTTAAAGCGCAGCTATTGATCACTTACATGTCTCCCTTGGGGCACCACTGACATTCAGGCTTGGGTCATCACAAGGCCAGATAGATCCAGGAAAGACTACACACACGCTGAAGCCCTTCTGCCTTTGATGCTCCAGGCCTCTTGCAGACGCAAGTGCGCCGTCCGCCGCGCCCCCGCGGCCAGCGGCCGCCGGGAGGCAGCTCACGGCCGCCGCGGCGGAAACCGCGAAGAGGTCAATCAACTGGACACGCAGACAGTCCTCAAAGAAGAAATCCAATCAACACCATTGCCAAGGAAAATGGGCTGTTCAACACCAACAAGAATGGACTGTTCATATTTTGGTTAGTCATATTCTTTTCTGAGGCGGGTCGGCATTGGTGGTTGGTAGTCATCTCTACTATATATACTTGGCCACAAGGAAGAATCTACTAAGCTAATTCTATACCATCCGGGATTTCTTCCAACAGCACTGACATGGGCGGGGCACACACTAGGGCTAATTAAGGATTCAAGAGTGGGAGGCAATGTTGATTGTTGATGAATCAAAGTCCACCACCACAATAATTATTGCATACATCTCCATACCGGGCTCTTAATTAGCCAATATAGTCAACAAGTATAGTCTAGACATGTTTGAAAGAGTTTAACAGTAGAACATATAGCACATTTCATTTCATATTACATCAATATAGTCAATATAGCGAGCCTTTATAACTATAGTTTAATTTAGTCAACCCTTGACACCCCCAAACCAAGACGTTGCCTTTTGGCGCACCGCCTTGAGCTGCGCTTCAGACGAGGACCTGCCATCCGTGGCGCAACTGGAGCAGAGCGTCAACCTGGCGTGTGTCGGCGGAGCTGCACACGGGGATGTGGTGTGTTTGAATGTTTCGTTAATGAACGATGACTATTTTGCAGGATTTTGTAGGCAGGCAGGGGGATTATTATGACGCACTATGGGAAGATTGAGTTTTTGTGTGATAGTTTTGGTCTGTAGAGCAACTCGATGCTTGTGTGGTTTGGTTTTAGGGTCACTGCTTTTTGCAGACCACAAGGTGATACCTATGTACTCTTTAGATGAAGAGTCCTGTCATCTTCCAAGTTGATGGAAACTTTGGGCAATGAGAGGACATCTGTGGAATGAAAGAAATTTCCGCAGCACCTCAGAACATTTGCAACTCATCATATCTCAAAGGGGAAGGCATGTCTCCTTCTTGCACCCTCCAGCTTTTGTCAATCACTAAATCACCACTCCCGGCCGTGAGACCAAAATAGCTGCCGGAAACACAGCGCAGTAACCCCCAGAAAAGTGACTTGGGGAATGTTGAAGGATTTCCAGGAACAACCGGGGCAAATCCGCTGACAACCCTTCAAAGAACTTCTGATACAGTGATTTCACTGGAAAACCATCCATTTCTTCCTAAATGGTCTTCTTCAAAGCTAACTTTTGCAGGAGAAATCTCCACAATTCCGCAGAAACCTGATACTCAAGAACACAAATGTCTCAGACATCCTCCCGTTTCCTTCTTCTCTCGCTCCCGCGAGACCTGCCACCGCGCTGAGACCTGCCTCCGCGACGGCGCGAGGGCCAGGGCCTGGGAGATCTCGCAGGAGGCACTGCAGAAGTTGCTGCGCCGGCGCTCGCGAGGCGTGTGGGGGGGGGTCGGTATGGCTGGGCATGTACGTGCTCCACTCCTCCAATTCAGTTTGTCCTTGTGGATCTCAAAATCCTGGAGTGTGTTTGGGATCAAAATCCTGCCAATGCGAGCACTTGGCCAAGAGATCCGAATGTGGTTACTAGTAGTTAGTAGGCTAGCGAATTGCTATAGTATAGTATGGGCACTCCTCACCAGCAAACTCTATTTACCTTGGATGCCCTCAGCATTGCCACTTTCATCCTATATTTCATCAGTGTGGCTGTGGATCACCAAAAACGGACCCCTAATCCGTTGACAGTCTGACATAGCTTGACCATGTCTAAGTAGTCTATTCTGCTCATGTTCGCTTGCTACCAACCCGCGTCCCGAGGCCGGCACCTCCACCACTCCTTGGAGTACGCCTTACGTCGCTTCGCCTTCGAAGACCGGGGGCGACCTGGGGAAGTCGGTGCCGTGGAGCATGACGACGGACCACGAACTGGTCAATGACATTGGTTTGAACATCTGCAGGACACCCTTGTGCTCTTTCGTTCCCCCAAACTGTGCTCTTTTTGTTCCCTGAAAAAAACATCTTAAAACGAATCGATTCTGGGAGTCATATGAGTCATGGAGTTGGGCGTTCGGGATTTGACGATGAACAGTCGGGAGGGCGGGACCTGATGTGAGACAGCTTCCGGGGCTTCCGTTCGTCTAATACTGGTCATGAAAGAAGCGTCATGCATGCTAATTAGGAATTGGCAAGTACAAGTTCAGTTGGCCGGAGCTCTCTATATTGATTTTGGCGGGGGATGTGCCGTCGATCCAGTAAACCTCGGGAGGTGGAACACAAACGTGCAGCTTTTTCAAGCGGGGTGTGGTTGGCAAAGCTAATTAAATAGTTAGGGCAAACATGGCAAACCTACAAACATCATCTCATGATCCTCATCTTGAATATTCTTTGAGGTCTGTAAAAGGACCCCACCGCATTGTGCTACCCAATCCTGCAGCATTGTGGAAAGAGATGCAAGTCATTGAGGTTAGTTTTCTCCGCGAAAATCAATGCCCCGTTTTCGGGTCACTGCTTTGCGGCGTCCCGTGAGTGTCGCGTCAGCAAACAAAAATAGAACACTCACCCAATCTCACCCACATCCAACAATATAATCGAATTTCTTGTACCAGGACCCCTGTTTGGGGTTAATAGCCCCTTAAGAGCTTAAGGGTTGTCTATTCACCCCGACCGTGGGTCCTGGTATAGGGTTTGCATTGTCATTCACCCAGGAGATCTTCCACCCTGCCGGTCCACCTCGGTCTCCAACACGCTTCACGCTTCACGCCGCGCGCCACGCTCGGGACATCGAGGCGTCAACCTCTCGTGTGCCACGGAGGCGCGAAGCACACCGGTCGCCGGTCGTCCAAGCGAGAAGCGAAGCCCGAAAGCGCCCCTTCTAGCGGAGGAGAAGAAGTTGGTGGTGGGGAAAAAGGGGAATTCCTATGGGAGTCACCGCATCATCTTGTTTGGGGGGGTTGATTGGAATTTCTGGTTCAAGAGTGCTCGGATGTGCAAAATGGACGTGCTTTGCGTGGATTGTTCACTTAGTGAATCTGTGTTCTGAATATCTCAGCCGTAGGAGATTTCAGAGGATGGTCCATGATCAACCCATGCATGAGTGTAACTTGATTTTGTCCTTTTTCGCTAGTTGCATCAAAAAATCGTTCGCAGCTTCACGGAAGACTTCGCCGTTCCTCTCTCCCCCCAACAACATCACCTGTGGCGAAGTTGGACGGGTTTGTTTCAAGATGTCCAGGGTGTTGAGGCCCAACAGCTCCGTGAAGACTCCAGTTAACTCCACCTCGGCTGTCGCACACACTCCACCGGCCTCCGGACCCGGCATTTCTTGCGGTTCACCCCTTCGGCCTCCGCCGTCCGCCGTCCGCGTCCACCAGCTGCGTCGAACTCCGGGTTCCCAGTTGGGGCGATCTGTGAGCAGATCGGACTTCACCAAAATAGACGGTCCGGAACGCAACATGAATCAACGACCTTGGTTTTGCGGATCAGGTATGATCAGGTGATAATATATATTTTATGTTTCATATGTTTCCCTGTGGGTAAAATCCCCAAACCTGGAGAGTATGATTTTACCATATTTCACCTTTATTCCATTTTCCTGAACAGCAAATCCGGATGACAGGACGACCCCCCCCATTTTCATCACACCGGACCTCGCCGGTCCTTCACCAGGAGGTGGCTGAACGGGAGCTGCACCTCCGAGAGGCACGCTTTGGATTTCCTGCCGCGGATCCAGCTTACGATGTGAGGAAAGTGGCTTTCATAAACCCTGCAGTACGACATAGTAATCTACCAGGACCCTCCTGTCGGGGTGCCCAGTCTGGAAGCCATCCTAGGTAGTGTGGGGTAGTCCAGCCAGGACACCCCTTGGAGGGTCCAGGTATTAAGCTTTCCAGCACAGCACTTGATGTGAGAAAATGATTTTGACACTTCTTCTTCAGCATCAGGTGGTTTGGAGAGGGGATCCGGCAGCAGTGACTTTGACATTTGGGAAAGCCCACTGTCCTGATCGAGGGCAGAAAGACCAATCGGATCTAGACCCTGAAATAACTTTTCACTAAGACATGTTGGATATGGTGGGGTTCACATACCACAGGCCAGGAAACACAGACAAACACTTTGGAGCATGATGTTTGCATGATTTTTTCTTTTTTGCTTGGATCAACGTGTTCGTTGTTCTTTTAGTACAGTACTCGTCCTTCTTGTGTGGGAGAGAGTCGGATACTTGACAATACTTGAAGCATGTTGACATTTGGAATTTTTGCCCTCGCACCTTTCGGCAAGGCGATCGGTCTGGAACCTCTGCGCGTGGAGGCCGCCATGTCCAATGCTCGCGCGCTTTTGGGTGGAGTATAAAGGGAGGCTGCCTATCGGCACTGCACCAGTGCCCCCAATCTTGAAAACAGTTGGAAAAATACATGTCCTCCAAACCCACAATCAATTTGGCAGAGTCTATGCAAATCTCTTTTGTGCCACTGTTTGCCAACCAAAAGTTTTCATGTGTGCAGAATTGGTCCAACAAAAATCGACCAATCCTTCGTATGGGCGGCACTGCAACGCACCGCCTCCGGCTTTGTCACTGTGCCGCCTGGCCACCCTTCGAGCAGTGAGACGTCGAAGATGGTCGTCAGCAGACGAAACAATTTCAATCATGGACCATTATCACCAGCGCCAACCACAAATTTGTGTCACTTGTAGTTGCAAAGTACCTTTAAGATCCTTGTAGCACCACTTGGAAATACATTTGGACGTAGCAATAGCCACCAAGCCCCGCCTTTTCAGGCTCGCTTCCACTTGGCAGCCCTGCTGGCAGAGGAGCGATATGACGCACGCGTTGCCAGCAGCGAGCGTTGTTCCGGTCACAGGGGCGTGCAGCGTCACTTGGTTGCAGCATTGCAGTATGCTTTCTTACGATTTGATCTTGGGCATGTGGCGGTGTTCACATGAGAGTTGAGAGTGGCAAGCTTGTTCCGCTTTCACCTGGAAAGGAGTTCTTTGCTGGCTTCGGTCCATTTGCTTGCCCGAAGTTTCCCACGGGACGCAGGAGAAGAAGTTGGCGGAAGCTCTACAGCTCTTGCGACAGGCATGTTGGATGGCGGGAGGTCGGTTTCCAGGGCAAGTGCCGGATCATAACAAGAAACATGATTCAGAGCATGGACCCCCTGGCAGAGCAACAGGTTGGTTTGAGGTTTTGTCCAATTCTTCCAAAGGATGTTTCTCCCAGCCACCACCACCAAGGCCTTTTTTTTTGGGTTTCCGCAGAGGAACCTGCCGGCTGCCCTCCGGTCGGTCGGATCGGATCAAACCAGGCCTTGGAGATTGCTCCGGAAGAAGTCAATTGCGGGGCGCCTCAGCGTGAGCTCGAGCTGGACACGGCACTCCGAGGCAAAAGAGAGACACTCCAAAAGACGTGTCCTGGTTTGATTTCAAGGACCAGTTTAAAAAAACGCATTAAGTAAGACATATTGGTTCTTAGTTCTTTGCCATCAACCTTAAGTAAAAAAATCCTTGGTATTCAAGATGTATCAAGACCATTGAGAAGCCATGGTTGTTTCGCATCCTCGGGGGTGGGTGTTGTGCGTGCGCTCCTCCACTGACGCCGTCCGTCTCGGAGACCGTGGGTCGTAGTCTGAGGGTTTCTATGGGAAAACCGGGGGCAAGATTGAAAGCCATTTATATAGGAATCGTGGTACCCAAAAAGGGCATCCCCAAAGAGATGGACCATGTAGATTTCCAGGTGCAGAATGTATGGGGACAACCGTGCCACTATCTATTTGGGAGCTTCTTGGATAGGAGGATCCTTCTATTATCTTCTATTCTTCGACTTCGGACGCTGTCCGGTTTCGCCAAGGCTTGGCACTCACTTGCCGGTGCTTGGAAGGCTGCGGGCAGTGCTGTCCATCGCTGGGTCGACCAAAGAGTTGCGGGCAGCGAAGTTCGTGTTTCTTCCAGTTGACATGGCGGGTGCGGAGCTTGGGGATGGAAGCCTCAACAATGGGTACAACGTGAGATAATGTGAGAGATACAGATCGATTTATATTATGGTCGTCATAGTTCACGAGTAGTTGTGCGAGCATTTGTGAGGGCAACTCCTCACTTGTGGGTTAGTAGGTGAGTGCGGCACCCCCTCAATCCCATGGTCATAAGGACTAAGTCCGGAAAAGTATTTGATTATCTCACTGAATTTCATAGTGATACCTTTGTTGGTGATGTTTCTGCAGGGCCACTATTTGCCAATGCCTTCCGGTTGATCGGAGTAAGAGTTGCCTTGGCATCGCTTTGAACCACTGCTTGTTCTGAAGTTCTCCTATGCGCATGTCATCCACACACCACTGCATAGATGTCGCCTGCCCACAGCCAAGCGCCGCCGAGATGCACCCGCTTTGGAACCGTTGGGAACTGTTTTGGAGCGACATCCTTCCCAGGACTCCACCGCCATGCGGAAGCCCTCACGGTGGCCACACAGCTCTGCCGCGTCGACCCGGCCTCCACGTGCGCCGAGACTTAGGGCGCTATGGGGCGTGGGGTTTGGCAGTGGGTTGGACAACACCTGGCGGCTCCCTGGTGAACACCTCGCTCAAACAAACAGAATGGTTGACTGTTCAGGGGGGCATTCACGTTTTGGAGTCTGTAGTCATGACAGGCGCTGGGATTAACACATGAATGTATGTGCATTGAATCATGAATCATTCGTATGAGGATGGGCCAATATGGGCCAAGGTTTGCTCTCCAGACACGCCTATGACCTATGACATGAGTAGTGACGTGGGTTCATTCCCCAGATTCAGCCAGCGCACCCGATGCCTACTTTTTGTTTGGCGACGGGCCAATTTTATAGTGAAGACGAGCGGGAGGATAACCAGGAAACCCACTTGAGAATCGAATGGCAGACCATAACTTAAAAAACCACCATTTTGGGTGGAAAAAGAGTTCCCGAAGAATCCTCCAACGTCGCTGGTTGGTGCACCAGAACGTCCGACCCCTCCGCAGGTTCCTGGCGCTGCGGGAAGTCTTCCGATCTCAGCCCGACGACGTCTGAGCCTCACTGTAACTCAGCAGCCGCGGTTACGCGGTGCACGGCGTGTTGGAATGGCCATTTTTATTGGGCGTGGCCGCAGTGTGGGTATGGGATCTAAGTGTTTTCTTGAGGCATCGTCTGTGGAACCTGGATCCCAAAAACGGCCATGAGAGCCAAGAGAGATGGCCGGTTTTCTGTTTCGAAGCAGCAAACTGTTTTGTTCTTTCAAGTCGACCAGCTTCTTGACCGGAGTCCCATCCGACCTGTTTGGAGGGTGACCGTGACCGAAGCAACCAGTGGAATCAATAGGTCACGAACACCAAGAACCAGGGACCAGGGACCAATCGACCTGAAGGGTCGATGTTTTTGAGTGAATGTTTGGTTGAGTTTCCATCTGAACCATCCAAGGCCATCTCCAACCAGGCCATCCAAGGCCATCTCCAAGGCCATCATCCAGCCCTTGGTCTCCCCAATCTCGCGACCGAGTCTGGCAGCCTCGGTCGTAGGTCTTTGTGGTGACCTTCCCACGCTGTGGCACCACTTGGATGGCTCTTCAGAAGCGAATTCGTTGGATTTGGGAGTGATTGGACTGAGTGGACCGGCCTGTTTGTGGTGTGGATGTGAGGGGCTTTTTGGACCGCCCCACTAGGCGAACGAAAGAAGCAAAAACCAGTTGCTCATGGAATGGAATGAATGGATGGATGGAATTCCCAAAGCCGAATGGATCCACATGACCTTACCCATCAAGAAAGCCATGAGGGGGGCCATGCCCACGATTGTGTGGATGACATTTCACACGACAGGCAGACAGTAACACTTAAAAGCACTCAGATCTGACCACGAAATCTATAAGTGTTATGGCTACTTCTCTCCTGTTTTTTTCTCCGGATGATGGATGACTTGACCGGCTGAGGTTCAGATTGCCGTTTGCTGTCTCTTCGGTGCAGCAGCCAACTACGTGGAGTCCTCAGTCCTCGTGAGGACTCTTTTGGAGGGTTCCGGATGGTGAGCAGCGGCATGGTCCAAAGATGTCCAAAGCCCCTTAACTCTGGATCACGCACACACACACACACACTCTTTCTATATATTTTTATATACACAGTTGTTGGATCACGATGATCATTGGAGAGGTTGTTGGATCGCACACTCTCTATGTTAAATATAGCCATTCAAGCCCAAACATGGCTCACACTGACTCAATTTCACCATGGAAAGGGGATGGCAAGGTCTTCCGAGCAAGACCGATTTTGGTCGTGCCATCCCTCTTCTCCTGATCACTGCATGGGGTAGCAATCAGCTTAGGTGCAGACTTAAGTCTGAAGCCTGAAAACCATGGCTTGCTAAAGGAACCTTTGGACTGGACAGGGTGCCTTCCAGGTTTCTGTGAGCCCGCATGTGGGTGGACATCGGGAATCAGAAAGGACCAGCAACCACCTGGCACGAGCCCTCCGAAGGGCTGGATTTGGGTCTTTGATGAACGACCAAGAGAGGTGAAGTGACCTAAGACCGACTGTACTAGGGAACCGTCCTGGGCTGGTTTCTCTTAGGTTGTTCAACCTGTCCTGGTATTTTGGGGATTGGAGGGGTCCAGGGGGTTGGTCGCTGGCGATGTCCGAAGTTGGAACGCCGGAGCACATGTGTTGCCCATTCCAACTGGAATGATTTGCTGGAGTGACGTGGAGTGACTGATTGAAGCTTTCCATCTTTCCGTGCAATCTAGTTTCATGATGTTTTTTGGCCGAATTCTAGCACTCATTCACTCATTCACTCATTCTTCCTCAGACGGACGTAGGTCCAGGCGATTCCACCGGAGGCTTCGTTGGTTTTGAGACGCCACACGCACACAAGGAAATGCACACCGGACGTAAGGATGGAGCCAACGAAGGCCGGATGTTAGTCGGATGCCCTTCCCAACGAACAGAAGCAGTCGTGCCAGCCTCAAAGTCGAGCAACCTGAATGAACAACCCAAGGGGGGAAAGCCGAGCAGACGGTTCAAATGGCATTCCGTCTAGATGCAGCATCTACATGGCACAAACTGACAGACATTTCAGGTGAGGATTACCTCGAAAACTGTAAATGCCCTCAGTTCTTTTCCTTTGGCTTGGCCTCATCTATGTGCTTGTTTGTCCATGAAGAGTTGGGCCCATCCGAAAAGCCATTTATATACTTTGCCATTCTGAGGTGCCCAAAGAACAGGCTAATTGTTGGTGGTTACAACCCCATCAGGTTTGCCTCAATTGATGAATTGTAGATGGGATCCACGCCCAGCAACCCAACTCTTCAAAAGCCTAGCCGATCCTAGCCGCCCTGGCTAGAGGGCACGCACACAAACCGCACAAACCGAGCGAGACACTGAAGATCTCGACGACCGCCAGATCAAACAATGCCCACTCTTAAGTGAGTGCCCCTTTGCACCTCCAAGACCATCTCAATCCGCCTTCTCAGCACGCTCCAGCAGCTCCCAACAACACCGCAACCGCAGCGCCGCACTCCAACCCCATCCATCCCCCCCTCATCCAAGCAGCGGTGTCCACGCGGAGACCCAGGGGCCCCCCAAAACCGCCACGCCAAAAACGCCTTCCTCCGGCCATGGCGTCATGTTGGGCCACGACGTGGTCTTGCTCCACTGCTGCGACTTCGTCCAGGCACCTCAGCTCTTTCGGCTACAGCTGCTCTGCCACTCGGTGCGTCGGCGCTTACAGGCGCCGGACGTGTGGCGGCAGGTGCGGACGAGAGGACCGAGGAACGGAGAAGAAGGAAATGAAGAACAGTGGAACTCATGGGGAAGGTGTGGTTGTTCTGCACCAGGTGATTCTAATTCATGTTCGAAAGACCCACAAATCAATGAACCATCACACCTTCCATCACACCGTCGCCCCGAACCCCTCGAATCCCTCGGTTTGAGTCCCCTTGCAGGCCTTTGCCTCGGAGATGAGATTCATCAGCTGCGATCTCGCGCGTGGCATGGCTCCCTTGGTCTCCAAGATGCCGCCAGACCTGCCCAGCCTCAGCCTGCGCTTCCGCTGGTGTAGCACCTCGGTTTGGGAGACGTGGGTGATCGCGATCCGTCCAAGCACACCAGGAGAGAGAGAGAGAGAGAGACGGACGTCTTCAACGAAGCATTCCGGCTTCGCTTCATGCGAACGATGGGGGTCCACTGCGTTACTTGGCAGATTGAGATCTGGGAGAAGCATAGGGCACAGGATGGCACATGCATAGGCCACCTCGAAGGACCACATATTCATCCAAGGAGCCTGCTGTAAGTGCTCAGTTATGCTGATGTTCGGCCGCCCCCACTCATCATCACCCAATGCCTTCAGTCACTGGAACCATCTGAAACCCTTCTCCAGCACTCGTGCCTTCTCGCTTGCCGTATCAGTGTGCGAAATCCGATGGGTCCGCCATGTTCTGTCCCTGAGCTGCTGAAAAACCTGCGTCAAGCAGCACACATCTTCGAAAGCTCCCAGCAGCTCTGGGTCCGCGCCTGCTCCATTTGCAGTCATCCAGCTATTCAAGCAATATTACCAAGCCGACCCCCCTGGTTTCTCGGCTCCGCAGCTCGAGGCCTCGGGCTCGACAGCGCCACGCTGTTGGCGCGTCACTTGCCGCGCGGCGCGCGGCGGCTGCAGCTGGCCTTCCGTGGATGTGGACTGGGCGAGGCCGCCGCCACGGCGCTCGCCGAGCGGATGCCACCGGAGTTGGCCGCGGGGCAGGGGGAATGAGGGGGGGAAAGGGGAGGGAGTTGGAAATAAAATGACATGAATCTATGAGAGGGTTGCGATGAAGAACGTGTTTGAGGTCTTAAGTGAAGCCCCTGCTGAACCCTGCTGATATAGGCTTTGGTTTTGCTGATTGGAACGAAAAGCGGGTCAAAACCTCCCAACAACCAGAACGAAGAAGCACGTCTTTTTGGTTTTACTACCATGGACCCCTCAACAATGAGTCGAGTACCCTACACTTCCCTTACTTAGGTCGGTTCTGCTTGATGTTCTGAGAGCGGAGTCCGGTTTCCGGCGCCAAGGAGAGTCTTTATCTGACTTTGAGAGGTTGCCCCATCGGTGGCCGAGGGGTCAAGGCCGTTGCCGAGCATTTGCCCAAGCAGCTGAAGGACAGTTTTTTTGGCGGGAGCAGTTGTCCGGCACAGGGGTCTGGAGCTCTCAAGTGGCAGTTTCGTTTTGGGGGGAGAGGTCTGACAGTTCCAAAGGGACAAGCCCAAGTAAGCAGATGTTGAAGAACGTGGACAACTTGAACATGTCGTTGAAGATTCAACAGGGCAGTGTCTCTCATCTTCATCCGGCGGCCTCAACACTCAGATTGAGATGACCGTTGAATCCTGTGAGCAACAACCGGCGGCCCAACTTCTGTGGCGGCTACCGCAAAACCTGGCCCCGAGCACTTGTTTCTGACCCGATTTCACACCATCTGGGAGAAGAACATGCCTCCACCACCACTACCCTTCGGCATCGACGAGCGCGTCACGCGTCGGACTTCTTCAGGGAAGATCGGCCTCCGGGCGCCGCCCCGACTGAGTGCTGAACCCGCTGGAGCCGCGCTGCAGGAGCTTGGGCTGGACTTCCGGGACTGTCGCCTTCCGGGGATCGGCTTGCGCTACCTGGCGCAGCAGCTGCAGCAGGCGGAGAGCCTGCAACAGCTGCGCTTGCAGGTGGGCGGCTGCGACATGGCGGCCATGGATTGCAAGGCCTGGAGGTTTAGGTTGTTTTTTTTTTTAATTTTTTGGCTGGGTTGTTTCACCTGGATGACTGGCTTGCTGGAATTGGTGTGGAGCATTCGTGCAGACGAAAGCACTTTTTGCAGGGCTCAGCTGGTGGACGACCTGGGCCTCAGCTGAACTGATCCATTTGATCCTCTGGCTCAGCTGGGCTCACCCAGAGGGTCATGGGTCATAGCAAGGGGCCTCGCATGTTGGATCCATCATGATCCATTCGGTCCATCCGGTGGTAGCACGGTCCAGCACCGCTTGTTGCGCCCTGCCCGAGTCCGGTCTCCAGTGACCGGAGACTGGGTGAACGCAGGTGATCATGTCGCAGCTGCCTCACGAGAGCCTACGGATCCTCCACTTAGGCGGGTCGGTTTGGATGGGCGGAGTTTAACAAAGGCCCCCCCAAGATCCACGACCTTTTCAGCAATTGAGAACTCCTTCTTAACCCCTTTCTTGTCCAATATACCCAAACATACCCAAACCCATTCTCAGAGTGCCTCTCCAGCACCCATTTGGTGAGTCCCCGAATCCGGTGCCTGTGAATTCCATTCTTTTGTTGAGCCTCACTCACCCTTTGGACCCCTCACAATCTGCAAAACAGCATGCCGGCACCACCGTCTCGAGCGCATCCTCATCCTTTTGGACCCGGCGGAGCCATCCTCCGGGTCCGCACTGTTTCCGGCCGCCTTGTGGATGCCAAAACCTCCGCGAGCCCCATGAGACGCCTCCACGAGCGATGAGTCCGACGGTCGGGCAGCGGGGGGGCCTCCCCGCCAGGCTTTGAAAGCTGCGCGCTGGGCTGCGCCGGCGCGCGGGCGATGGCCGAGGCCTTGCCGCAGCAGCTGGAGGTAGGCCGTTCGGAAGGGTTGGGGAGAAGGGAATCCGTGAGGCGTTCAGGTTTACGTCGAAGCTTTGCTGTTGGATGCTTTTATAATGCATTTTGGGTTTAGACCTGTCCATGTGTTGGTAGTTGCGCCCCAGAGCTCCCGGTGAGCACCCCAGCAGGGAAGCTTAGTTTTAGCTTGGAAGAACTTGGAAGCCAGCCAAGCCAGCGCAATGGCCGGGAGGCTTGCCAAGGGGCTGATGGTTCCTAGTCCTAATGCATTCAAGTCGATTGTGTATCTGTGTGTTTGCTTGTTCTTGTCACCGACCCCGTCGGCCGAACCTTCTTCGGGCTATTTTTCTCCCACCCCCACCTCCAACATGCAGGTGCTCCACTTGGATTTGGACTGGTGCAACGTCCAGGCAGAAGGTGGGCCTGTGGGAAGACACAGCCTCGAGGTGTCAAAGACCTCATTTTATTGGATTTGATCATGGCATATCATGCCAAACGCTCAAATTTCGGTTTTCAGGACCAGGTTTTTCTGGGTCTTTGGACTTGTAGGGTCGGGTTTTGGACGGAGGCTGTGCCTGCAAGGCAAAGTCTCGTTACTTTTGCATACTTTTGCATCTTTTGCCATTGACACTCTCACAGATCACCATCACAGACCATTTCGCTTGTCGAATTTGGCCTGAGTCCTTCTTCACCCTCACCTTCCACCAACCATTTCCGCTAAGTCCCTTCCTCCTTGTTCAACCTTCCTAGAAGACTCTACTAGTCCGTCCTAGCACCCCTCCTCCAGGTGCCTCAGCTTTAGCTCGCCATTTGCCGCCCTTCCTGCGACGCTTGTGGCTGGGCCTCTCCGGCTGCAGCGTGGGCCGCGAGGGTGCCACTGCCCTGGCGAAGGGGCTTCGGGAGCTGACTCTGCTGGAGCCGCGCGCGCGCGTGGAGCGCGGGGAGGTGAGTGGGCTGAGAGAGCTTTCGAGGGTTCCGGGAGAAGCCAGTGCAGCGATAGGACAGGTTCAATATCATTGTATAATATGCTCCAAAAATGTACAACATGTTTTTTGGGGCCAAATAATGATACAACGAGCATCGGACTTTCGGAGGTCCGACGTTGCATCCAAAGGTCATGTCAAAACCGGTCGAAAACACGGCATGTACCGAATGTTCCGTGCGTTTGGGCTTCCCCACGCTCAGAAGCGCACACCCGCCTTCGCATTGGCTGCTATGATGCCCTCGGCATTCAACTCAAATCCTGGAAGACGGTCAGCGCAGTTGCTTACGATCAGGGCCCGCACAGGTGCGCACTGCTAGGCATCGTGCGGGTTTGAGTGGCCGCTGTTCACGGCTTTCCGGCGGGAACCGGAAAGTCGTCGGTTCACGGCCTTCTTTGGCAACACCATGTTCTTCTTGCCTTGCAGCAGAAGCTTTCATTGAGACATCCCGGGCCATTGGAAGATCAGATTTGGCGAAAGAGACTTCAGGAGGTCTCAGACTTGGATCAGAGCGCCACAAATTTGGACACCTACGTGTTGAAACCTTGGTTGACCAGGGTCCCTTGCACGCCTTGTTGACCAGGCAGCAAAGGTGTGATTGGAACTTGCAACCATGCGAGGTCTCTTGGCCAAGACTGATGTCATTGTCTAGATCTGTTGGCAGTCACCCAGCTGTCTCAGAGCAGAGAAAGTGAAGTGCGCACAGGGAGGCACATGTGATTCAGGGCTTTCCCGGAAAAGCCGGGGTCCTTTCGGAAGGCCCTTTGAACACACGCTGTCGGCTGTCCCCAGGGTTTTTGCATCGTTTGGCGCTGTTGGGTTCCTGGCGAGGTTGGGTTCAGCTCGATCTTGTGCTCTTTCTCGCCTTCGGTATCATTTGTTGCATTTTTCAAGTTCGCTGTTCCACGAATTGTTTGGTTATTTCATTTGCTTCGATGGCGGCTATAAATGAAGGTTCAGGTTGATCTTTCTCACCAGCTGAATCTCGCTCAGCTGACAACCAAAAGATACCAAAAAGATGCCCAACAGTTTCTTCTTACAGTGCATATCTTCTTATGGAATGAATACATGTCATAATTGCAACACCTCCATCCACCTCCCCCAGGCTAACTTGCTAAAAACCCACCCCCTCCTCGCCATCCGGTGCCTTCATGCCCTACCCTTTCAACGCTCGCTCACGCTCGCGCTCGCGGCTCCGTCGCTAGGAGCGTTGTCACTTGGACTTCTCCCGGTGCCGCATTGCCTCCGTCGGCTGCCTGCGGCTCTTGGAGGCCTTGCCTCAGAGCTTAACGGCGCTGCTCCTGGACGTCCGTGGCTGTGGCCTGGCAGAAGCCGGAGCAACGACTCGACTGCGGCAGTTGAAGCGTTGAAACCATGGGGCCAAAAGTAGGAAGGGAACGGGGAAACTATGCGAAATATGCGGCTTAATGACTGTTGTTGATATGTAATTTTCTGGGGGTGTTTATTCTTGGGCGGGTAGCGCAATGACTATGCATTTGTTCATGTGGATGCATGGCGCTGCGGCAACGGCCGCCGAAGCGTCGACCCATCTGCATACGCCGCTGCGAGCTGCAGGCGCTATCCACGTGGAGGAACGAGGTGAGTTGCGGGACTTGCTGCCAGAGGGCCTCGAGGCTACGTTGCTCTTCTGAGGCCTTAGGGAAGATTCTGAGGCCTTAGGGAAGTGTCGCGTTGTTTGGACATATCCCGGCACAGCGCAGCAGAGACTCGGCGTTTGTTCCTGTGGTGCAAATTGAACATTTCGTGCAGAGCTAAGAGCTCTGCGTCCCACTTCCCATAGATCCGGGTTGTTTCGGGACGTTCCTGTGCCAAAACCAGAGGCAAGTTGCGCAAAGCTCAAGGACAGGATGTCCCATGAGTTGCCGTGGGGAACAAGATGCGATGGCCTTCATTTTTCTTGTTGGGGAAGGACATGACTATAACACATCCGAACCACGTCATGCATGATGGTTGCCGCAGCATGATGAGTGGCCGAATGGCAAACATGTTGGTATACAACAGCAACCTTGCAGAAGGTGCGCTTGTTGGTAAAGACCTTTTCCATCATGAATTAGCGGGGGTGATTGAAAAAAAAACATACACACACACCTTTCACACAACAGCTCAGCTGAGCGCTGATGGCACGTGTAGTGGACGGACTGGATCGCTCTTCAGGCTAAGCATGTGCCCATGTGAGGCAATCTTCCTGCCAGCCAGAGTCAGAGTGAGTTTCCATGCAGCAGATCCCGCACAGAAAAGAACTCGACGTGTCATTCATCTAGCGCACGCTTCGGAGGATCCGAATGAATGGCCGCGCTCGGCCACGACGTGGTTTTGGATCGACAACCCCAGACCAGGGGCCGCTCTATCGACCGGACTTCTTGATTTAGACTGTGCGTGGACGGCTTGGCTTATCATGATGGACCGATTGAAGACCTGGCATTTCTGCTGTTTGAAGACCATTTCGGCGTTTGGTGGGCTTGTTCATTTGGTGGGTTAACCTCATTTTCGTTGGGTTTTTGGTCTGTACATGTTTCATCCTTTTCCGAGAGTGACCGGCCCAGACCGACCACGCGGCTCTCAGGAAGACCACGCGCTCTTCTTGGAGGGAAGTCCGACTCTGATCCCGGCTCCGCGCGCGCCGAACGTGGACGGTCGGTGCGCGCCAACGCCGGATGTGGGCGCCATCGTTCCAAGGTAGGTAGGCTGCTCACCTTTGGATTTGGAGATAGTTGATTCCTGGTGCGAGTGAGGGTCGGTGAGGTTGATTGGCTTTCCTGCGGGATTCATCACCGAAATGCCGACTTTTGTCCTTCGCCTAGTCTTGGAGCTTTTCGCGGGCGTTGTCACAAGCGTTGCTGCAATCTTCCATCCCCAGATCAATCATCGATCTGCTTTGTGACTGCTGCTCCACCCTCAGGTATTGCTTCCTCCGCCGCCTATGCGCAAACTGGCATGGTTGGTTGGCGCTCATCAAGTCCAGGACTTTCCCGCACTCTCAGACCGCGGCATGTCCTGAGGCAAGTAAGTCTGTAGGTTCCAAGATTGGAACAGGTTTTGCCATGGTTTTGCCATGCCAGTCTCCCCTCAGACCTCGAAACCTGATGTGGAACGAACCAACCACGCTTCCCTCGCCACGCGGAACAAGTCCGCCACCGAGAACCACTCCCGCCAAGAACGACCGATTCTCGAACGCTGCCAGGTGCAGCACATGGAAGCCTGGAGCGACAAGCCGAGGCCGAGGCTCTTCAAGAGCCATGTGCCTGCGGAGATGCCCTTTCGTCTGCAGATGAACGGGGTCTCCACAAAGGGAAGACGAAGGGGAGCCGGAGCTCCGAAGTCAGAGCCGAATAGAGGTCGATGTGGATGTCGAGAGGGTCCCACCAGTGGTCCCACCCGGTACTGCAAGAGCATATGGCACATGAGATTCAGATAGGTATGACTCCTATATATAGACTATTGTGGCAGGTGTTCGGACAAAGAGATGAGGTATTTCCCAAGACATGTTCAATGGGAGTCGAATGTTTTTCTTTCATTTTTGTACATGTGGGGGCCATGGCCCAAACTGGCGTGATCGAACGAAGTGAATCTTACAGCATCGAACGAAAAAATGGTCCCTCCACCTGCGAGAGATCCAAAGTGAGGCATCCGGGCCTGGCGCATGGAGAGGAAGAGATTCTCCAGGAACATGGGAAGGCCTTGGGTGGGAGCTCTCACAGTTGGGAAAGTGGCGAAGAGGATCTCCCTAGTTCAAGGCTGTGTGTCGAGCCCTATGGCTTCAAGGACCTTTTCTTTCACCTGGACCCATCTGGCAGATATATTTTATACAGAACTGTACTGCATGTTGAACGACAGCCCTCCGTGGTCATTCCTCGCAGGCTTCGGTCCGATGGTTGCAGTTGAAGAACTTACCAGCCCATTATCGTTTCAGACAGCCTTGAACTAGGCGCCTTTGGTCTGAAAGGAATTTCATGGTTAATCATTGCACCATGCTTCCACCTCCATAGGGTGTGAGCAGGGTGGGTGGGAGGGTGGTGCCACGCCTAGTTCCGACATTTGAGGATGGCGTTTGATGTGCAGAGCGTGTGCAAACTTTTGCCGCCAGAATGCAGAAGCCATGACAAGCGGCTACTGTGCTTGAACACATTGAGCCCCCAACAAAACCCCCAACCTCATCGGTGTACCACTTCAAAGTTGTGAGATTGATCGGATTTGGACACTTGGAGGTCCTCTCCACATTCCTTGGGGCCAATTACTTGGACTACGTCATGATGATGGAAATCGCTCGCTCCGCAGGTGATCTACGTGGTGCGGAACCCCAAGGCGCGGATTGTGTGACGGACCTATAGCTGGGTTGCACGGATGGCGCGCATGATAGCTATACATACTACTAGCCGTATAGCACCACTTCAGTGCGGGAAGTTATGCCCAATGGAAGCAGCTAGCTGGTGAACTTGAGGGTGGATTTCAGTTTCCAGAGGTCTAATTAGATACGACCCGAAATCTTTAAAGAGCTCTACTTAATTCAGTCTATCAAGTCATGGCCACCGTAGAAGACCACACGCATCTCCACCTGATTTGGACACCCGGCAGCGCAGCAACGTCTCCGCGCGACACCACGCGCGTCATCCGGTCATCCAGGATGCGCTGATTTCCCTGCGGCATCATCATGCCAATAACCCAGCGATCGGCTGGACGGGCAGCCACGCTCTGAGTGTAGTGATACGAGAATGGGCAGCTGGAAAGGGGTAGGTGTGTGGATGTAGGTGGGTGGGATTTTGGGTTAAGAGATAGAACGATGTCACACCTGTGAAGCACCTCACTGGAAGTAGTTCTTTTTCGTCAGTTAAAACCCATGACTCTCCCAGAGCCTTTGCGACAGCTGCGCAGTCCTCAGACCTGGGGAAGAACACAAGAAAAAGGTTTCGCAAGAACTCAATCAGCGGGGGTCTGTGAAACAAGGGTTGTTGTGCAAATATAAGAAATTTGATGTCTGAACCATCAGGGTGAAAAGACTTCAAGTCAGCCCTGCCGGGCGAATGAGGTTGGGACGAATGGGTGAGGCAATGGATTGCTGGCGACAGGCCTCGCTGGTGAAACGGGGCCCCTCCCAGCCCAACGTTTTGCTTTTGGTGGGGTCCAATGTGGGCCGAAGATGAGTACTCCCTAGAACTAAAATGGAAGTAGAATACCACCTGTTTGTAGTGGATTTCATGGTCTTCCTTTCCATGAAAGTTATGCATTGACGACATTGCATCGCAGGTCGCAGGAGTATGGCGGCTCTTATTTCGAGCATGTGAAGGGCTGGTGAGGGGCGCTCAGGATGCGGATGAGTTCGAATTCAAGATCAACAAAGACAAGTTGAGCTCGGCTTCAGCCCGATAGAAAGACCAGCGACGCCAAGTATAGGCGACATGTGGTTGAGAGGAGATGAGGCCGAGGAAAGTGAACTGGGTGGATCTACTAATTATATAGTGAATCATGCATCTTGACGCACATGCAATCGGCTTTGAGTGATGAAAATCACACCATCCTCCTAGATCGGGTGGTTTCCACGGATCCCCGTTCTTCACCGCTGTCTACCGGTGGAACGACGAACGTTCAGCCGTGCAGGTGGACGTTGGCGCAGCGCCATCCCCAACGGATCCGCCGGGGCTCTCGGAGATCGGGAGAAGCAGGTGCTCAGCTCGGAACATGCATGTGGAAGACAAGGTGTTAACATCGGATGATCACGGTATAACTGTTACATACTTAAACATACTTAAACCACTAGAAGCCAATCAAAAGCCTTGTCATAGTCACATGAAGCGTGCACATCTCCCCGCTGTTGAACTGCCACGCACTGGAGGCATTTTCTACTTCGAGGAGATGAAAGTGTGGCACCCAGTAGCGTGGTGACATAGCGTAGTGGTGTAGTGACATGCGGTGATCGACCACGCTAGAAGCTGCCAGTATCCTTATTCCAAAAATCGTACACTATACTCATGAATTGATATTGAAATGTATGCTTTCGCGGTGGCTCCAGGATGCTTTTTGTGAGAGTTCAGCCCTTGATTCGAGCTGTTGGTTCCGTCTTTGTCAGCCACACCACACCCGCCGATCTCCCGCTGGCCACGCGCCATGACCGGCCTCCGGCCGATCTCCCGCCACCGGCCTCCGTGAGGCGAACCTGCGGCAGAGCGTCGCGGAGGTCGCCGAGTTTCTGCAGACATCGCTCGGCTCAACGCAAGTGGACGAGGCGGCTGCGACCACGGCGCGAGCTGGTCAGCGCGGTGGGCACTCGGTTCGTCTTTAGAATCTTTAGGAAAAAGCAGTTGGGGTGGATTCGGGTGGATCTAGTGGTGGACCTATATGTGCTGTGGCCATCCAAAAGCCAAGACCCTCCAACCGAGGAGATGTTCTTTTTTTCCAATGGTGGCGGTTACGGCTTTCAGTACAAGGATAAATATAGAAGCAATGCTTGGCTTTTTCATGATCATCCAGCTAGTGTGTAGATGTGGTTAAGCACTGCGACCGTGCAAACTGTACAACCCCGCCTCTCCCATCAACTTACTGTGCTTGAGGGATGAACTGCAATTAAATTCCTGCCTTCGACTGAGGGAATATTTGCTTGCCTACTGGTAGACCCTCCGCAATTGAAAAGGAAATGAAGATCCATTGGCCAGGCTCTTTGCGGTCTTGGAGCCCAATGGCAAAAGAATTGCTGTAGTGGTGTGGTTTGGGGATGTCCTAATTCCAATTTTAAGGATTCTGGAGTTAGACTCACCTTGATTAGACCCACCTAACTCCAATTAGACTCACCCAACATTTGTGAGTTTAACGTACGTTGAGCCCATATTTGGCTGGCGACGCCCTGGCATGCGACAAGGCCTGCCAGGGGCGCCAAAATCGGGGGTCCCGGAACCGGAAATGTGCAGAATGCCCAATGATGGGCAAATGGGTTCTTTTCCCCAGCCAGACTCAGTAGGTCAGAAAGTACCTAATGATTTGTATAGAAGTACTATGATCTATAACATTATAGATGGATTGAGGTCTGTAACTTTCATCACTTGCCACCCGCCCAGTGGGGGGCACCATGCCGATCTCCAGGTTTGCAAGGCCTGCCGCTTCGAGTCCATGCGGGGCAGGCGCGGTTTTAGCACCGCGCGGGGTGGGCGACCGGTGGGCGACCAGGCGATGACATGTATTGAGTATAGTGATCCCCAAATGGATTGGAATGGTTTCCAATACAGTTACAAAAATATAACATATAGGTAATTAGTGGGGATCTACTTTTCTATCTATTTGGGGGTCTATATGTTCTCATGTTGACCGTTGAGTAATAAACAAACCCTATGAAGAGGTTCACCAAACGAGGGGGTTATTGATCAAGAGCCTGTATCATTAAAGTAATGCTGATGAAGGAACCCCTCCAAATGTTGACTGTTCTACATCTCCAAATAGGGGTTCATTACATGTTTTTGATCAACAACATTAACTATTATAGGATGTTATAGGCATATCAGCACTTAAACATTCAGTACTATTGAGCTTTGTTTTGACCGGTTCTCGCTGGAGGCCTACAATCCTGTGCACGGTTTGTGGCCGCTGGCTTTTTTGCAAAGTGTGACGGCATACATGTTCATCCAATTGCCAAATGCTGGATGATCCAAATGCTGAGTATCAGAACTTCTGATTATTATCTGCATACTACGTATACTTACTATCCTACGTATAATACGCATTTGTTTGGTATACATATGGTATTATATGTATTTGTCTGGTTGGTGTATACTACGTATAGGACCCTATGTATCCGTAAACCGGAAAAAAGCCGCACTGGATGTTGACTCGAGGGGGTCCTCCGGACAGACAGTTCAGTTCTGCCTCCGCCTCTGGAGGCATCAGGTCTCAGAGGACATCCGAAGTGTGGCACTCAGTCACGAACTTTCCCTGGCCAGCCTGACATGCCATTAGCAACGTCCAAGAACCACTGAGTGTCAATGCCCATGAACCTCAAGAACTGGTGTGACCCCCGAAAATGGCTCCGGGTCAAAGCCAGGCACCTGTGTGGTTTGGTTCAGAATGTTTTGACTCACAGCCTCACAGCCATATGCTTGAAGTATACGTATATAATGATTAATGGAAGTTCGAACGACATCTTCATCAGGCCGATGGCAATCTGCGAAATGAAAGCTAGCCTGCTCCTGTGAACTTGACGAACTGGCCTGAAGAATTTCCCCCGCGTTGGACTTTTCATTGTCCAAAGCCCAGGGACATCGGGTGAAAGCATGTGGTAGTTCGTGGGACATGAAGATCTCCGCCGCCATTGCCGCGATGATCAATGACTGCAGCCTAGGAAGAGTTGAGATAGAATCATGATCAGATGGATCCAGCTTGACCCAGACTTGGCCAACACCCTTTTGCCCTACTGTAGCTTGCACAAGGCTTGCAAGAACGCTCAGAGTGTTGGGACAGCGAACCCGACCAATGCATCTTTTGAGGCTTTTGAAGTGGGGCACTGCACCTCTTCAAGATATAGAATTTTGACCCCCAGAAATGTGCGATACCACTTCAGACTCCAGGAATGAGCACTCGCACACGAAATGGCCTCCATGAACCACGGGTTCTAAGAAGACTGATCAATCTTTGAGTGTGTTACATCATGCATCTTTTCAAGAGCCCATGTTACTTTTTCCAAAATCTTTAACAATTCTTTTGCATTCTTCTGGGGGTGTCAGAGCTTCCATGTCTCTTCCAAAAGGCTCTTCTACTGGCACCCGGAAGACTCCAGCGCACCGCTCTTGCCGCCATGTCGATGCTGCAGTTCCGCGTGGAGTGCAAGCGCACGAAGCCTGGGCAGGCGATTGAGGGGAATGCTGAAGGGGAGCGATGGCTCCCCTCGACGGAGCGAATGGTTTTTTCCACCTCAGTGGGAGGTTCCAGGATGAAGGCGAAGACTCGTGAGTCAAGTCATCAGGATCCCTTGCCCATCCTTGCCTTGGCGGGGTTGACGAGTTTGAAGCTGATCTTTGGTAGATCCAGCATGGCTGGCATGCGGTTCACGGTGGGTCGTTCGGCCTTTTCGAGTCCTGCTGCTGCTGCTGCTGTGTTTTGCTCCGGTCCTAGACTGGAGTGTCATACGCATGGACTCCAGGGGCTGTCTTTACAGAGGCAACCTGAGACTCAGGAAAAGCTGAGGGGGATTGGAACGAATCGTTCCACATGTTACACCCCTCCCGGCATTTGAAGATTGAAAGTGGAGGGGGGACGCGTCAAGGTCTATTCTCAATTCACAACAACATTGTAAGCAATCATATAAAGGATCCGAATCGGGCAAGTTGTTGGTTTTCACCACTCCAGGGAGAAGCGCTGTAATTAATTAAGTAGGTCAACTCATAGACCATGTGAGTACCCACTACTAAGAGCTCTCAGTCGACTCACCATGAGCTCACCATGACCCCGAAAGAAGTGGCATGATTGAGGCGGTGTATGTGGTCGGCAATGTGCCCGAGTTGGGATCATGGAAAGTGGAGTCAGGCTTGCAGAGACGGACCCGGTGGTAGTTTTCGGTTGGAAGGAGGGAAGTGACAGGGTTACTGGTAGCACGAAGACAGGACAAGAGGAGTTGTTTCATGTCTCCCCTCTAGCCTTTTATAGCTTAACAGATCTTCTATCAGGTGTTGGGTCGGTGACAGTGTTTCCATGCGTGTCCCTTCGCCCAAAATGGCCTGCAATGATTTATGTCTTTCTCCTTGCTGTATGACTCATGAACATTTTCTTTGGGAGTCCTGTAGGCCACTGTAGGCATCCGGCAGCCCATTGCAGGAAATCTCATGAGATGCAGAGTCATGAAGAGTCCTGTAGGCAATTTACACTCCCAGGACCCAGCCATGAGGGATATTGAGGGTGTGTGATGGTGTGAGTCTATCCCGCCTTTGCTGTGTTGCGGCTTGGAGGAAATCAGAGTCGACTCACTAAGTTGCCCATGTCCCGTTTAAATCCGTTTCAGGCCGTCCGTGGTTGAGAAGTCACAGGTGAGTAGAACAGTCCGCCTGGTATTTTTGGGGGTGTTGAGTGACCAACCTCGGTTCTTTTCGTCTAAATACAGTAGCCTTGTTGAATCGCATTTCCACGGCGTGTGTGTATGCCGCATGCGTCCTGTTTGGTCAGGCGTGCCCTGCATGACAACGGCCCAAAGCTTTCCGATGTGGACCTCCCCCGATGTGGTGCTCAAATCCTCCAAGGCGATTCCGTTTCGCGAGCGGCGCAGTGCGGTACAAGCGCCAAAGCACACTTGTTGCTCTGACAGGTCGAGTGGTTCTTTCTTCGTTTCGTTGCCAGTGAGTGGTTTGGCGGCCCGTCATGCTTGAACGTGTTTCAGCCCTATCGGGCAAATGGACTTTGCTGTTCAACATGGCCATTGAGAGGACTCTGAACCCCTTGAATCCTTGTTCTTGGATGTGGTCGACCAAAGTCTTGTCTTGGTGCTGTCTTACACCCCAAACACAGGAAATCCAGAACATGTTTCAGTCATTCGTTTTTGGCGAGGACGGGGTTCCATTGTGTTTTCTATTGCATGTTTTTGGTTCCGCCTCAGTTGGAGTTCGCCTTGACTTCCGCGGCCTGGCCATTTGCAGGACATTGAGTTTAAGCTGGTGGTGGCCAACGAACAAGGTGCCGACGCCAAATGGGACCCTCGTCCTCCCGTGCGAGTGCCGTGAGTGATGCGCTCCCTGGGAGTGCTCGGTGTGTTTTTCTATTGCGGCGCAATGAGTGGGGCGGAGGTTTAACGAGTGATGGTCGTTTGATGAGACTTGATGCCTACTTCCTGATCAAACCATACCACACCAGGTGTTGTATGGTGGAGTGATGTGTTTTGAATCTTTTGGAGTGGTCTCTTGTTTTTTTTTGGAAACTCGGGAATTATATTGATACAGGACTTGCGCCTTGCGCAGCTAGCTGGCCGATAATGTGGTGTCATTGTTGGAGGGTGGGCCAGGGTGGGGATTTGCTTTGGGCTTGCTGGGGGGCCAGCGGTTGGAACTGACGGTATTTTTGTGACTTTGGCTTGCAGTCTTTGACTTTTGAGTGCTGATGTTGTTTGTCCATGGCATCAATGGTTTCTGTTTTTGGTGGCGTGCTACTTCACTGCCGAGGAGAGTGGCAACAACAAGAGGATCCAGGTGCCTGACAATCGCTTGCTCATCGTGCCTGGAAGAGCATGGGAGAGGGGGAGAAGTGGGACCCACTGCAGCCTGGCACAGACCCGCCCCACATGTCTGTGGTTTCTATGGACCCCATTTGTGGACATCTTGAGGTCTGTGCATGTTTGACCTCTGAAACCAATCTACAGTAAATCATTTAGAGCCGGGAGCTGAAATGAGAGCTGGAAGCTAAGAATGAGAAGCTGAGGTCCGAAGCGCCTTCGACAAGAAGGAGGTGACCTCTGAGGCTCAAAAGCTCACACAGACTTTAGAGGAGCCTGGGGAGTGGGGAATGGGGTGCTACGAAGTGGGATGAACCCAGAGTTTTGACATAAGAATGGTTGAGATTCTTCTGGGCATGGAAGGAAGATGAAGGAAGGATCTGAAAGGCTGGAACTTGAAGATTCTGTAGATTCTGGGCCATTTGCTCCAAGCTCTGGACTCTTGAGAGGAACTGGCAAGAGATGCTAGTTCTTGATTTTTCTAGGGAAACGGCCTGGGGGTCAGGGGTACAATTGGTCGTACCTGGACTTGAAAAAACTATGACCGGTAGGATTTTGGTGGACCAAGCCAGGCCCTTTAGTACATAGCGGCCCCTCACTGTTTGTAACTTGGCGCCATCAAGGGTTTGCGGAAGCCTTCCTCTCGGGAATTTAGAGTGACTTGTATCCCTGGGTGTTCTCCCTAGCCTACTGACACAGCTTTTTGCTGGAATTCTCTTTTCTGCAGGAGAGCCCTCAGGAGAGCATCGAACCGCAACCTTCTGCCGAGCGTCTGCACTCCTGGCGGAAGCAAAATACCTCAAGGCATTTGATGTTGAATCGAGATGCTTGGCATAATTCCTAGACGGATGATCGACATGAAAACATGAGTCATACATGAGGCTCTCAAGAGTCAACCATCCTTTGTTTTACTCAACTGTTCAATGTGTTCATCACTTGCTCCGAAGCTGTGCACAATCTGAAGGCATTTGTGGCAAGATTTCAACAATGTAACAATGGGGTTGGACTGTCGGGAAAGATGCAACCCCTGGTGTGTAAGTTCAATGTTAACCATGAGAGTCATGCAAATACCTCATGACTAATTATCCATGAGTGTTTCCTTCAGGCGGTGCAAGGTATATGTGTGCTTTCTGGTTTTAATTAAGGAGCTATGACCTTGGACTCACTAACACGGAAGTAGGAACACCATGTTTGGTAAGACTGGAGCATGGTCTTTCCAGTGGCCATCCACTGGCCCATGTTGCGGTGACTTGGTTCGTCGAAGACGTGTAAGACAGACCTTGGACCTGCGGGCGATGTCCCTCCACTCGGATGACAATCAGCTCGCTCCGAGGATGGCACTACCAACTTCCAGCTGAGCCGTCACTTGTCGAGTGTCGAGTTTGCCTGAGGTCGACGGGATGGCAGTAGACTAGATGCAGGTGGATTACAAGCCTAGAATCAGCAACAGATTGGAATGAGCAACTTACCAGTGGCAACCAGGATTGATTGGTAAGTCTTTGGGGCCCAAGCTGAGAATTTGTTTGATTTGGCTAGGCTGAATTGGCAAGTCTTTGGTTAGACATTAGAATTCAAGAATGTTCTGTCACCTTGAACTCATGTCCCGCTGGACCAATGATAGTTATAGGGTGTGCTGGAGGAAGAGGACGACCAACTACTCCCTACCCCTTCAGTCGTTTTTCACTGCTTCTGCTATATACGTGATGTCACCTTTTTGG